TAAAAAAAAACGTACAACTAGAGTCTTGCAAATTTCGCATATTCTGGAAAAATTCGCTCCAATTTTTTTATTCCCCGTTGAGTCCCGAATTCCGCTCCCGCCATCGACGCGGCTCGATTTCTTCTTCCGCCAACCATAAATCCTGAATATCTTCAAAGCCAATTCTAATTCGCCGCCGGTCTGGTAATCGGAAGATATGCTCCGTCTCTGTATCAGACTCCGACGTCGTTACAGTTTTGCGTATCATCGCCGCTTCTCATCCTCCTCTTCCAAAAACCCCGTCGAATCTTCCAACAACCCTAGAAATTCCTATTCTGTTCCCTCTCCTCAACCGCCATCATTGCAAATTCTTCAAGGCCATCCTCCTGCTCTCTCCACAACCACCGTAACGCCTCTCTCACGAACTTCTATTTTTGCTCTCTCCGCCACCGTCCTTTCCGCTATCGTTGCCTCGTACGCTCTATACAATCCCAATCCTGAGGCTGAGCGCAAAAGGAACCCTAGTCCTCTCTACGACGCTATCGAACACGGCATCCAGAAATCCAATGAGTCCTTCAAGAGGATCCTTAATCACGGGAGGCAGACGGGCGTGGCAGCCTCGGTTCTGTGGCAATCGCTGAGGTCGGTGCTCTCTTCAGCGAATCACGAAGTGCGAGTCGGGTTCGAAATGCGGGTGGCATCGCTGCTCGCTGACATTGCCGCCGCCAATGCCAGCCGCAGGGCTGCTCTGGTCGGTGCAGGTGGTGGCGCAGTGGTTGACTGGCTTCTTGAGACGGTGGCGACCACCTCAGTCGGGACTGAGACCCAGGCAGAGGCTGCTAGGGCGCTGGCATATTTGGTTGCGGACCCTAATGTGTGTAAGGATGTTTTGGGGAGGCCTCTTGCTGTTCCCAATTTATTGAGGTTCATCTTTTCGTGTCAGCCTAAGCGCAGGGCTAAGAAGGTCAGTTTTATCTACGTTTGTTTATTGTTCTTTGATGTCATTGTTTTCTTTTATTAATAATTGTTGATGTATTAGAGAAATTTGTTAGGATTTTTTGCACCTGATTTTGTTGGTGCTTCTAAATTGTGTTTACCATTGATATATAGCTTTTCTGTGGGAGCAGCACTCAAGACGCACTTCATTCGATGTTTCTGATTCCTTGAAAGGTAGGAGCATGCTAGTGGCTGCCATTATGGATATTGTGACATCCAATTGTGAGAGTCTGGAAAAGGTATCCTTTAAGCCAGTGCTGCCTCGGAATGCTGAGACCAGGGATATTGCAGCAGCCATTCAAGTTATTGAACAAGGTGGCATGCGTTTAGATGATCAGGAGTGTGGGGATGATGAAGATGGTGGAAGAGGTATGAGGGGAATTGGGATCAAGATTCTTGAAGGCACAACAGTAGTAGGGCTTTCAAGAACTGAGGGGCTTATGAAATTTGATAGTCCTGACCCTCCCAATGGAATGCCAGATCTGCATACCTCTAAAACCCTTGATTTGCTTGCTAAACATGATAGTTCGATTGCTGAAGCCAATTTATCTTCTGCTGTTGTACCTGGTCTCTGGGATGATTTGCACTGTGAACATGTCGCTGTGCCTTTTGCTGCTTGGGCATTAGCCAATTGGGCAATGGCATCAGATGTCAACAGAACACTTATTCAAGAACTAGATCAAGATGGGTATGCTGTAATGACTGCTTTGCTAGCACCTGAAAGATCAGTGAAATGGCATGGGAGTTTGGTGGCTCGGTTGTTGCTAGAGGATCGTAATCTTCCCTTAAATGATTCCATATCTGATTGGGCTTCTAGTCTTCTTTCTACCATTTCACAGGCAAGCAAAAACGATGACATTTCTTTAGCTCAGATGGCTTTATCTGCTTTTTTAGTTTCTGTTGAGAGAAGCCCTGGGGCACAGAAGATTGTGATGGAGAAGGGTCTTCCACTGATGAGAGATACCGCAAAGCGGATGAGCAATCACAGGCAAGTTCAAGAAGCATTGGCACAGGCTTTAGAATTGATTTCTACTAGAGACATTCATTTATCTCTTGAAGAGAGTCAGAGGTGGTCTGCCATACTGCTTCCTTGGGTGTTTGGACAATCTTCCTCTGATGCTATGCGAGCTTCTGCAATAAGAATTCTTTCATGCATACTTGAAGACTATGGGCCAGCTTCTGTACCTATTTCTCAAGGATGGTTAGCTATTCTGCTTAATGATGTCCTGAGTTCCAGTAAGAAATCACCTGTTAAAGGAGGGACTCAGCCAAAGAGTGACAAAATTAAGGTACAGAGCTCCTTTTTGTTTGCTTTTAATAATCTGTTGAAGCATCAATCTGGTTTTCAATTCTTCCATTTTCCATGAGAAGAATTATAAATTTGAACTTTAGTATTTGTAATCTAATTGTTTTGCAGACTCAAATCGATCAGTCTAACATTCTTTCGGCTACACAGACTGCTAACCAATTAGCAGGTGCCGTTGTTAATCTAGCTGGAAATCAATTAGGAACAGCCACTGACTCTGTTGACACATTCCCCCTGGCAGAGCTTCTTTCTCTTGAACCTTTTGCAGGACCATTTAAAAATCTAAAGAAAGATAGTCCACCTAAATTTGATGCTGCAGATTCTGCATTGGCAACCCTTAAGGGGACTAAAGCACTTGCTGAAATTTGTGCTGAAGATTCCTTCTGTCAGAAAAAAGTTGTTGATTTTGGGGTCTTGTGTTTGCTGAGACGCTTTTTGTTATGTGATGATTATGAGCAACTAGCTGCAATAGAGGCTTATGATGCATCTAGAGCCCATGAGGCACAGGAGAGGGTTTCAAGTGGTGCTGGTGAATCAGCTGCATCAACTGCATCAAATACAAATGATCCATCCAGTGTCCGAGTTCCACCTGCAGCTCACATTCGGAGGCATGCAGCTCGACTGTTAACAATCCTTTCCATCCTTCCAAAAGTCAAGAAGACCATTATATCAGACAAAACTTGGTGTAAATGGCTTGAGGACTGTGCTGATGGGAAGATTCCAGGCTGTAGTGACCTTAAAATACAAAGTTATGCCAGGGCCACACTGTTAAATGTGCTTTGTGATCCACAAGTTCAGAAAGATTCATCAAATGATAATCCTCCTGACATAGATGGCGCAAACCACACCAATGCCTGTCCTTATTATGATGATATGATACTTTTAATCAATCCTGAATTACCCCACTGGAGCTGTTCTGAAATGAGAGATCAATCCACTATTTGGAAGGATAAGCATCTTTCAAGTGAAGGCAATTCTATCAATAGTGACGATACATATGTAGCCGGAGCTTCAAAAGCTGAAGAAATTTCTGGTTCTGTTACTGCATCAGAAGGTGGTTTTCAACCAGAGATCCCCCAACTGGATGTTGTCTTTGTCCATGGGCTGCGTGGTGGGCCATACAAAACTTGGCGAATATCCGAGGACAAATCCTCAACTAAGTCTGGCTTAGTAGAGAAAATTGATCAGGAAGCGGGGAAGCTCGGGACATTTTGGCCAGGTGAATGGCTTTCAGCTGACTTCTCTCAAGCTCGCTTGTTTTCCCTCAAATACAAGGTTTGTTTTAGTGTTGTGGCGACTTAAGAAACTCTTGATTAATGAAGGAAGTTCTAAGGAGATGCTCCTGGCCACATGGGACAAGACACCTTTCATATCTCAATAGAAATAGTATTTAAGTACTTTGAGATACTATCTAGTTGGTTCTAGTACCATAGTTCAATGACTTAACCTCTTCTTGAATTTTCAATGCAGACAAATCTAACACAGTGGTCTGGAGCTAGCCTGCCTCTTCAGGTATGCTACTTTTGGTTGATTGTTTTTAAGTACCTAAATTTATCAATTGTTAGGCTCATTAGGTTTCTTTTACTGAAATCGTCTTCAGTAATTAAGGTTGTAGCATCCAGTTCAGTTGGGATATTAAATCTTATGATTATCCTTGTCCTACAACATCATTAATTTCATTTTGACAATATGCAGGAAGTTAGCACCATGCTGTTGAAGAAGCTTGTTGCTGCTGGCATTGGGAATCGTCCTGTTGTGTTTGTGACTCACAGGTTGGTGCTCAACATGTATTTGTAACTTCTTTTTTTTTTCTTGCAACTCCCTTTTTTAATGTATTAGATACTCATAATATGAGGATGTCTGAGGTCATTCTTTGTTTTGATTTTATTCCCTATGAAAGCTTATAAAGTGGTCCCTTTATCAATCACATTGCTAATTGAACTTCTGCCACTTTTGAGATTGTAGTTTTCTGAGAAATGCCAATTGCAAATCAATTTTGTTGGTTCCAATTATGCGCCCTAAGCTGGTTGGTTTTATTTCTTTTAACATGATTTCTCCATTTAATTATATGATTCACTCTTGTTTGCAGCATGGGAGGCCTTGTTGTCAAGCAGATGCTGTATAAAGCAAAAGCAGAAAATATTGATAACCTTGTCAACAACACCATTGGAGTTGTATGTGCTTGATAATTATAATTAGATATTTGCTACTTTCATTCATTTGCTCTCCTCCTTCTGGTGCTGTTGTTTTGACAACTTTCAACTTACATCATTAGTTGGTGTAACTTTTGGCATTTCACCTTTATTTCAGGTGTTCTATAGCTGCCCACATTTTGGCAGTAAGCTTGCTGACATGCCTTGGCGAATGGGACTTGTGTTTCGTCCAGCCCCTACTGTTAGTATATGATCATTTTAATTAAACTACTACATCCATTACCTGATTGCTAATTCTAAAGGTTCAAGACTGAAAAATTCACAAACTGATGTTCATATTTTCTTGTCACTTTTCCAGATAGGGGAGTTGCGAAGTGGTTCTCCAAGACTTGTAGAGCTCAATGACTTTCTTCGTCAGCTTCATAAGAAAAGGATGCTTGAAGTCCTTAGTTTTTGCGAGGTATTGGACCTACATCTAATCTCTCTTTCTCGTTCTATTCAGCATTTAATTTTCTCTCCTTGTGAATTTGACAGCTATAATTTCCATTTTTTTGCAGACTAAGGTGACTCCAATTGTTGAAGGTTATGGGGGATGGGCCTTTCGTGCAGAAATTGTGCCAATCGAATCAGCATATCCCGGTTTTGGTGAACTTGTTGTAAGTGTTATCCTGATTGTTCAATTTTCCTCTGAATGAATAACTTTTGATAGTTTTTCTAAAAGATGACAAAGTGGACTTCCATCTTGGTGAATATTTTAGCTGCTCCATTGCAATGAAATGTTCATTGAATGCTCGGTCAAACTTGCAGCTCACTGCTTTCTGCTCTGTCATCTAGATACTTCCCTAATCATTTGTTATTTGTCTCTAACCGTGAAACAGGTCCTAGAGTCAACAGATCATATAAACTCATGCAAACCACTCAGCCGTGCTGATCCCTCATACACAGAAATATTAGACTTTTTGCGTAAACTGAAAGCTCGGTATACATGAAGTTTACTCACCTTGAGCATTGAATTGATATTCTTTTGTTGATCTAATCATGGAATATGGAGATGAGCATGACAGAGGTAGTTAGATTTTTGCATACATAGACACACTGAGGAGCACAGCCCATCTTTGAATCAAATGGCCTGTGGATTAGTTGACCAACTTCTGCTGTTCGACTGCTGTTAGTGAATCTACACTCCAATCATCTCTGTTTTTAAGCAGTTGTGTACATTATCTCATTGTCTCGGTCTGTGCATTAACATTCCAGGTCTTTTGTATTTTTTCTTATAAAAAAAAAAATACTTTTATGTGTAAATAAACCCATTCGTGAAATGGGATTTGAAAATTTGTAGATATTCACAAGAAAAAGGGAAATTTTAGAGGAAATGAAAAGAATGATTTGATCCTTGTGGCTGTGTATTTGTTTTCTCTTTGCTTTCTAATTTTTTGTCAGGGAAATTAACTGGGCTTGATTTCGGAGCCCGCGATGAAATGAACCACGGGTCAACAAGAAGCCTTGTTTTTGGGCTCAAAAATGGAGAATTTCGATATCAAACATCATCGTTTAGAAACTAACGAAATCCATTTTCTCCTATTAAAAAAAAAAAATTAACGAAATCCATTTCCGGTCCCGGAGAACAGAGAAGAGAAGCGGTAGTTCTCCCTTCTCAGGCCGAAGTAGCAGGAAGCTGATTTCCTTTTAATCATGTCATTGTCTTCAAAATCATGTGAGGTTTTTTCCATGGAAAAGAATTTTCAACACTCCCTAGTACAACCTCCGATTGTGGCAAGCGGTCATCTTTCTTTTCCATGGCTGTTCAAGTTCACAATTTCAACAAGAAACATGAAACCCAACACACCCAGAAATTGGTTGCCCGCAATTTCATGCTGCTCTGAATCTAATTCGTCACCCTCATCGTCCCAGTCTGTGATTTTGGCTGCCAATAGCAACGGTACAGCTCCCCTGTTGATAAGGAAGAGGAAACGGTACAGGAAGCTGTACCCAGGAGAGAGCAAGGGCATTACGGAGGAGATGAGATTTGTTGCTATGAGGCTTCGCAACATTAACGGCAAAAAATGCAGTCTTAGTGACGACTCCGGGAGTGACGGTGAGAGTACTGGAGAAGAGAAAGAGGAACGAGATAGTGCTCAGTCTTTGGAAAGCGGTGAGAGTTTTCGCAACGGAGAAGGTGGGTCTTGGAAACCCAGCATGGAAGGGTTCCTAAAGTACTTGGTTGATAGCAAGCTCGTTTTCGACACTGTGGAGCGCATTGTTGATGAATCCAATGATGTTGCCTGTGAGCTCCTTTTCTGATGTCCCATTTGTTGATTTTTATTTCTTTCTTTTTGCATCTTGGGGGACATGAGGATTTTTGTAAATCATTGTTGCACGTCATGGTATAATCTTCAAAATTAGTACTCTTGCTTCTTGAGTTACTTAAGAATTTGGGATTGAAATTTATGGCAGATGCCTACTTCAGGAAGACTGGATTGGAAAGATCACAAGGTCTTATGAAGGATTTAGAATGGTTCAGCCAGCAAAATCTTGTGATTCCAGAACCTAGCAATCCAGGAATGTCCTATGCCAATTATCTGGAAGAACTAGCTGAGAAAAGTGCTCCACTTTTCCTATGCCATTTCTACAATATTTACTTTGCACATATAGCAGGAGGTCAAGTGATAGCAAGACAGGTAAGCTGGAAATTGAATGCTTAATCTTCTTCATGCTTGATGGCATGATGTTGTGTCCTTAGTAAGGAAATGTCTATTTTATCAGTGCATAAGATTAAAGAAAATACTATTGTATGTTTGAGCCTGCAAACCTTTTTTTTTTGTAAATTTGTTATCTTTATACTCTCAGAATTGTATGATTCGTGTTTTATCCTTTGGAAAAAAACACTGACGAGAAAAATCTATGCTGCTGACTCTTTGTGCGACATGAAGGCAAAAGAACTTCTGGTGCTAAAATTAGTGGTTAAAACCATGTTGTTGTCCTCTCTATGTGTGTTCAACTCTTTTGTAATTTTTTGACTTCTTTCAAATTCTAAGCCACTGATTTCCAGGCCACCTGGTGATCAGATGAACCTTAACTGTGCACTTTAGAATTTTTAGCTAAAGTGATTTTTTCAGATCTGATAGTCATCTTTCTGCAATGGATTATTGTCTTTAGGCTTCCGAGAAGCTTTTGGATGGAAGGGAGCTGGAGTTCTATACATGGGAAGGGGATGTCCAAGAATCATTTAAAGCAGTGCGTGAGAAGCTCAACTTGGTTGGTGAGGTTGGTGTTTGAGACTTCCTTTTTTATGATGAATAACTTGTTTTTTCTTTTCCTTAGATATCACTTCGTACTTATATGTTGGATACTTGGATCTATTTAATGTTGTGCAGCATTGGTCTCGGGAACACAAAGCCAAATGCTTAAAAGAAGCAGGAAAGGCATTTAAGTTTTTGGGGCAGATTGTTCGCTTAATCATCTTATAAATCTGCTGCACTCACCTTATACAACAGTGGAAGTTAATTGTAAGATCACAACTCTTTTTACTTTGTTCCATTTTTATTTGAGAACTTGTTGCTTGGTAAAAGGCGAAAAAATAGTTTGCTCTATGCTCTCCTTGTGGTTGCTTAGAACTTGTTGCTTAGTTTGTATTGCTTGAATAGTTTCTTACATTCTTAGAGTCTAGAAACATGGAATATGATCTCAACTTGTTGAAAGGGAGATATTTTCTTCTTCCTTGTTCTCAAGTATGCATTTACTTACCCTATGTTTTTCTCTCAGAGCATTATAAAATATATTTTTATCACTCTCTTATAGTAGTTCTAAATTGGATTACTGCTTCAATCTCATATTTTCTCAAACTTTTTTGAAAGTAGGCTGCATAATCTACTATGTTAATGTTTATCATAGGTTGTCCAACTCTCATAAAGTTTCTGGCATAGATTCAAAAGTGTTTCATAAACCTGATGTTGAACCTTATTTTTCGCTTGTTAGTAGTGTGTTTTTCGTGGTTATTTACATAACTCACTTAATCATCATCAACACCCTGGTAAAGAAGTGAAAAGAGGAAAAATGAAAAATCACTCCCTGAAAATCTTTAGTTTGCAATGGCCCGTTTTCTTTATTACAATAGAGGATCATGAATGTGTGCCTTTTGTCCTTTCTACCAGATTATATATTTCCAGCTTCATTCTTGTTGATGTGGCCGTAAACCTGTTTGTAATGCGGTTTGTGGTAAATATCAGGAAGACAGCCGGCCAATGGGTGAAGGGAGGAGCACTATTGGCTCAGGGACAACAATCAGAACTTCTAGCTGAGGCACTTTTTACTCAGGATTGATCATAATGAGAAGCGAACAATGTATCGTGTCTGGACGGCGGAACTTATTTTCGAAGAACCAAGTTAAAAGGCAAAACAAAAAGGAAAATTTGTAGAGAAATGTTTTTCTTTTCGTCTTCTGGATCATAACCGTGTAATGTTGGCTTGTATCTCACGATTCTCACCATCTCAGCCAGCTATTGTTTTAATTTATAAACTGATGCTTCAGCTTTTTGCCTTTTAAAAAATATATATAATAATTTTTTTTTTTTGGTGAAAAAGGAAATAGTATTGATAAAAAAACACGGCACGGCCCATTAAGATCTGGGAAACCAGATTCCCATAAGGTCAGCATTGTATATATAATAATTTTTCATTGCTCCCTAAATGAAATAATCACAATGCCGTATAAAATTAGCAAAAACTAAATCAGCGACTAACTGATCCATCACATGATACAGGATCAGTTTGATCTTTTCCTTTGATAACGAAGTGATCAACAATCCTAACTGTATTGACGGGGTCCTGGTGACCGGCAGCTGCACTCCATTTGCTCGGATTATTTCTATGGTGGCTCCACTGCTGTGGCTGTTTATCCTCCTTATCCCAGTCAGGATCTAGCCTCCATTCCTTCGGAACCTGCATGTTAAATAAAGATCGATATTTGAGTCAAAACTACTAGACTAGACAGCAAGTTTCCCAGTATACAAAAGCATTAAGTAAAAAAAAATATATCTATATATATGATGATGATGATGATGATGATGATGATGATAATAATAATAATAATAATATAAATAAATAAATAACACCCTCATCTTGAATAATACGTTCCGGCCCAATGGCATGGACCATGGGTTAGGATCGTTTACCTTCTGTGAGTGACGTATTCGAACCCCATGGATCTCCCGTTTCCCCCACTTAATACATATAAATAATTTCAATATGTTCAAAAAAAAAAAAACCCTCATCTAGAAGGTGCTATCAAGAAACACAATACAGTCTAAAGGTAAGCAAAGCTCTTTGAATCAAATATTAGTTTCCTACCTTGTCGACTGCAAGAGTGAAAACTTCAAGATCACCATCACCAGTAATGTGGAATCGTGTAAATGCCTTGTAATTAGCAATTCGGAGAGATGAGAAGGCTTCATCAAAGTGTATGTGAAGCCAGTTGATGCAGATATACAAGTAGCTTCCAAACACCAAAGAAACCACCGGAGTTGAGAAGACCCAGAAATACAGGAAGACAGAAGCATAGTATATAACAGCACCTCCTCGAGAGAGTGAGGCCATTCCTTTCTTGCAAATATTACTTCTAGTAACAGCCATGACCTGAAAACATTTCTCCCATCAGTATGCTCTGAAGAAGTCTAACTTGATGTAAAACCATCATATCTGTCAGACAAGTAGAGGGTTCTTACCTCTGGAATATCAAATGCAGACATGAGGTACTTGATACAAGCTGGATAGAGACCAAATGTCCACTGTTCCATACGGGCTCGAAGGCCAGTAGGATCAGGAAAGTGCTCACTTTCCACTGATCGGTACCACTGATATAGACTATGATAACCTGAACAATAAATATTTCATCACACGCAGTTAAAAACAATATTAACTCAGCCACAACCAAACCGTCATGACTTTGTATTGTGTACTTTATGGGAGTATTAAAATCCATGAATAGGTAGAATCATCCAGTTTGTTTGCATATGATCAGATAAACATCAGAGTTGGATTATCATATCAATAGAATTTAGAAAACGTAGAATCACCTCACTATAAAAGAACTACAAAAAACCAGAAAACATATAAGTTACCTGAAGTTGCTAGTAGTTTATGCTGAATACAGGTCTCAACACCCACTTCCAAGAGCAACATTAAAATAAGAGCTGCTGCCAGGTGTGCCAAAACATGAAGGACTCCAATTATTAGTTGTTTCTTTCGGGATACTTTTGAAGGGACAAAACAAATTGCAGTGATCAATAATAGCACAGCACCAGCCAAAGATACATAAGACTGTTCCACCACATACAAAAAAGCATTCCACACTGCGCCAAAGAAACTCCTCAGATGACCAGAAAAGGAATCATCTCGCAAAATGTGACCGAGCTTACACTAGAAATGGAGAAGGGAAAGACATCAGTCACCTCTCAGTAACACACTTTAAACTTACTGTTTTAAATATATATCTCGTCTTAAGGTTTGTATCCAACAAGACTAAAAAGGAACTAGGTGAAGCGAAGAAAAGGGCAGAAAATAATAGCTAGCCAGCCCTTCATTTCAATAAATGAAATTAGGCTAACCAGGCCCAAACCTATTAATTATAAACAAAATTCAAAGAAACTAACCTGTGGAAAGTTAGAGAAAACTAATATGAAGTAAATAATGCCACCAATGAAATCAAACTGCCAGTTCTTTTTCCGGAACTTTAAAATATTTCCCAACGCAATCTGCACCAAACAAACAAAAGTAAATAAAAAGTGAGCCAGGAAGAAGCAATTCCAAAGAAGTTGATAGTTAAAAGGAAAAGAAAATACAATACCCTGCTTGAATCTTCAAAAGAAGGATAAGCAGCCTTGCACTCATATGTTGTTCCATAAAGCTTGTTAAAGTTACGAAATACATGGGTGGGATGTAAAAATGCCCCACCACAACCATTGACAAGTAAATGCGGCACACGAACTGGACCTTCATTTTGCTGCACATGAGATGGTCCTTCTGATGGAACATATGAATGACGCATATAATGGTGAAGGTCCCCCGCAATTCGTAGCTTACACCTTCCTCGCAAGTAATCACAGATAAGGTGCGAAACATTTTTTCCAGAAATGTCATTCCAATACCAATCAAGAAGCCAATTTGGTTCGTGTGTCATAATAATAACAGAATCACTTTCCCCCACCTGTTTAAATAATTACTAAGCAATGGGATTAAGACATTCTCACCAGCATAAAATGTTCAATATGGTAATAAGGCAGCAGTTAAAAACTATGAATAGAAACACAAATAACAAAGTGAAAATTTTTTACTTGCTTATCAAAGTTATTGCCTAGTTAATGATCAAGGTCATGATAACTAAGGAATGCACCGCAGCACATGTTACATTCCTATGATTATTTTAGGATCAATACCAATACCAAGGACATCCTTCCATTTGGGTCTGACATGATTATCACCAGAATCCCATCCAAACGTCTTCAATTTGAATCTTTACTCATCATGATTTAAATTAGTGATTGACATGGTAAAGAAATTTTCACCATATTGATGGCAATAGCAAGAGACAACCATAACAGTCATGGTACATAGCATACACTATACAACAAATCTCTACACAAAAAAGAACAGCCAAGAAACCAACAAGTATGAATGTTGAAATAAACTTTACCTTTTCCTTTATTAATTGCGAAAAAAACTTGAACTGGTACACATCAATGTCACAGTGGAGTGCTAAATCAAGGCCAAATACCCACCATCCTTGTGGAAGTTGCAAAGCAAAATAACTCTTCTTCTGAGGCATAAACCACCCACCCAACCAACTCTTGTGGCATATGTACCTCATAAAAGTTTGAAGTCCATCAAACCAATCTGTAAAATTAAAAAGAATAGAATTAATTTGTTACATGGAATCAAACATTTAATAGGAATGACAAAAGATGTCCTTCTGGGCAGAAATGAGAATCTACTCAAGATTTAGCTCAGCCTAAACTTAGAACTCACCATGGTTTCCAGGTATGACAAAACATTGAGGGCCATCATATTGCTTCAATTCAGACACCTGTGCCGGCAACTCAGGCTTGTTTGCAGCTATGTGTTCCTTTTTATACCAAGGTGGAGGCTGAAGAGCATATTCAAAGGGACAAAAGAGACGCCTTTCATATGTGAAAGCTGATGGATTGGGATACCTAAAAAATGCAACCACAAGAAATATTTAAATTAAAAAAAGAAAAAAAAAAAGGCAATGGATTTTGTGGAATTTGATGGGGCAAATATAAATTAAAAAAAGCCAACACAAATGTCATAGAACATCTTAAGAAGTTTCAGTAATTTACAATTGAACATAGATGTCATTCTAAATCAAATTACTCCAGCAACAGTAGCAAGGGAAACTGACATGTTGAATATTGTTCTCTATCCCAATTTCTTACTGTGAACAATGATTGGATCCCCAGATGTTATTCAAAAAATACAAATATAAAGGTACCCAGCAGTCTGTTCTTTGTAGGGTTTCACCCATTAACATAACCTAAATTTGAAGAGGCACCTTATAGCCAATCAGCACAAATCATTCAACGGATAACATCAGTTATTGTCATCTTTTAGTTTCTCAATAACACCATTAACATTTCACGTTTTTCTTTCATTTCATCAAGTGCTATTAAGAATCATATAAAGTAATACCAGCAAATGACCAACTTACGCAAGATCTCCCCCAACAAGCAGCAAGTCACCACGCTGCAAAGTGCACACAGAATCACCTTTATGAAGCTGAAGGGAAGGCTGAGCAAGTAGTCGTGCTACAGCATAGGATGAGTTCCCTCCATCACCAGTATCAGCCATGAAGTCAAACCACAGATCTTCCTTTCCACTCAAATGGTCATAAAGAAGATCCCCTTGAGCTCCATCATGAACCTTGCTCATTGCCGCCTGATAGCAAGGAGGGTAAGAAAGGAAGCTCATTCTTTAAAAAATTCAGGTGACTGATGTCTGAATTTAAAACAATGAGTATATTGACCCCCAAGGTATTCCACAATATAAAAATCAGATAGACCATGTCCAAAATATGGAACCATACCTGCATCATACGCATGTCAAAGCGGCCAACAAACACAGTTACTGATACCAGGAGATCAAAAACTGTCTTGAATAAATCAGTAGATGTTCTGAAATTTACAAGGTAAGTAATGTGAGAATGAATCCCCAAAAGTACTTTCCAACAAAAGGTGCAAAAAGCAATGGATAAAAGAAGGCAAACCAATAATAAATATAATATACCCTGAATACCAAGGTACCATATCCAAGAAATCAGGTTTCATCTGCTTCTTCTTTGAGTTCTCATATTCTTCAACAGACAAAGGATGAGTAAGAGCCCACCTAGAGATTGTCAAAAATCAATTAATACCACAGAAGAAAAATGAATTAGTACTGTGGTGCAGCAATAAAACAATAATATGAATAAGAATTAAGGCAGATAAAAGCAAAAAAAGCTTAGTTCAATAATTACTAGCATG